CCCGCCCCGGCCGTGCCAGCTCCGAGGACGGCGACGCGCCGCGCAGAGGCGCTTCCCCCTGGCCTCCCCCCTGGCCTCCCCCCTTGCCTCCCCCCTTGCCTCCCCCCTCGCCTCGGCGGGGAGCGCTTCCCAGTACGTCCAGCGCGTCTCCTCGCCCCCTCCCCCCTCGGCGGCGGGAGCAGCCTCCGCGCTACCCCGCCGCTCCGGCGGCGCCGCGGCGCCGCTCTGCGGCGTCCAAAACGTCCAGCGCGTCTCCGGCTCGGCGCCTCCCCCCTCCTCCCCCCTCTCCCGGGGAGGGGGGCCCTCCCTGCCGCCCCGGGGAGGGGACCCACCCCTCGGCAGCGCCTTCTTCTCCCCCGAGCCGTCCTCCGCCCCGGCGGCGGCGGCGGGCGGCGCGGCGAACGAGGCGGGCAGCGGTGCGGGTGCAGCTGCTGGCGGTGCGGGTGCAGCTGCTGGCGGGTCCGGTGCGTGTGCGCCCCCCGGCGGCGGAGGCGAGACGGAGTGGTGAAGGAAGCGGGAGTAGAGGGAGGAGTGGAGGGTGGAGGGGAGGGAGGCGTGGGCGGGTGGCTGTGGCGGCGCGGCGGTGGCAGCGGAGGAGGTGGCGGAGGAGGTGGCGGAGGAGGTGGTGGCGGCAGAGGTGGCGGCAGAGGTGGCGGCAGAGGTGGCGGCAGAGGTGGCGGCAGAGGTGGCGGCAGAGGTGGCGGCAGAGGTGGCGGCAGAGGTGGCGGCAGAGGTGGCGGCAGAGGTGGCGGCAGAGGTGGCGGCAGAGGTGGCGGCAGAGGAGGTGGCGGAGGAGGCGGAGGAGGTGGCAGAGGAGGTGGCGGAGGAGGTGGCGGATCCGGCAGGCGGAGGCGGGGGGAGCTGCTCGAGCGCGCCTGCCGCCGCCAGCCTCGACGCCTCGCCTGCCGCCGCCTGCGCTGGCTCGTCAGCCGAGGCTGGCACGGCGAGCGAGGTGAGTGAGCGAGGCGGCGGCGGCGGCGAAGGCAGGGCGAGCGCCGCGTCCGGAGCCTCGCTCGACCCGCGAGCGAGCGGGGCGATGGAGCCGAGCGCGTCCACGAGGGCTTGTTCCGACGAGGCGCCGCCCGCCGCGTCGAGGTCGCTGCTTCCGTCGAGCACTAGGGCGTTACCGACGCGGTGGACAGGGAAGGCGACCCGGCCCGGCGTGAAGGGCAGCGTGAAGAGCCGCTTCATCTGCTCCGAGGGAGCAATGAAGTGGACGGGCGCGGCGTCATCGCCCATCGCCGCGAGCGTCGAGGAGGCAAAGCTGGCTCTCGCCGAGGAGAAGATGTCGGGCACGCCGGTGAGCGCAAAGCCGCCGGCCGACGCAATCGGCGGTGGCAGCGGTGCTTGGCCGGGCGAGGGCAGAGGGCGGTTCAGGTCGGTCTCGGGCTCAAGCAGCAGAGCCGGGAGCGTTGCCGCGGGCTGCTGCACGAGAGTGACGGAAGGCGCCGACGGCGTCGGCGACGCCGGCCGGCCGAGCACGCCAGCGCGGCGCTGCCACCGAAGGCTCGCGACGTGGCCGGCAGCCGCCGACATGAAGGCTTCACCGCGAGCTCGCGCGGCTGGCCCGCCGATCTTGTCGGCTGGGTTCCGGCTGTTTGGGGGGTAGGGTACGTTCTGGCGAGCGCTCACAGCTGTGGCAGCGATGCACAGTAGGCTGTGCCATCTGTGCAGAGCGTGTGGCTCCAGGAGCAAAGAGCTGCATGCCACCGAAGGCGCTGTCGATCGATAGGTTCGCCGTACGCCGAGCGCGGCGCAGTCCGGGGAAGCCGCCGCCGACGAGCGTAGAGCGCTGGTCAGAATCCGCTATGAGTACATCTCATCCCCCCTTGGACCAGTATGGTTCTTGCACTTGTGCAAGATTGGGCGTCTTCTGCCGCAGTCCCTTTGATGGGAGGCCCCAGGGTGGGGGCCACCTCGAACCCCCGGCCAGGGATTCGAGCGGTCGTCCGGTGCACTGCGAACCATACTCGACCTCTGCCTCCTGGATGCGCGTCGCGTCCTGTGCAGGCTGCACAGCTACCTATACAGAGACAGTTGGCACCCAGACCTCCACAGGGCAGGCGTCCACCCGCACCTGGCAGTCAAGCGTGGAACGCTCGATCACGAGGGGGATCGAAGTGAGCGCAGGCCTCGGCTTTTCTTTCGGTCAAGAGGGCGTAGGCTCAGTCTCAGGCACAGTGACGACAACTGGCTCTCGATCGAATACCTCCACGAGCTCCACTGCGAGAGCACTCGCTACGACAGCCTCACAAAGCTTCCAAGAATCGACCGAGACACAGCACTCGCGCGAATACACCGGATGGCTTTGGCAGTTCCAATTCGGTGTTAACGACACCTGCGGCGGCGCAATTATCAGGACTAATCACTTTGCACAGACCGACGGCGGTAATGAGCCGCCGTGCTGCATTCCGACTCACACTCTGGACCCCGCGCAAGCTCACGGCGCTTGCACAGGCATTGACTCGTGTCTCACGAACGTGGGAGGTTGCAATGTGGCGACGTGCCTTGGACTGCCGCCTTCTCCACCGGCTTTCGTGATCACGTGGGCCACAGCGGACACTGGGGTGGGACAAAACAGCTGCTCTTCCCTAAACGGTGCCCTCAACAATGTGGAGTATCTCGCTGCCGACTACGCCCCCGTACTTCATCGACTCCTCGCCACCGCTCGGCACAGCGACCTGGGGCTTGTTCTGCAATGACACCTGGACAACCAAAAATCTCACGCTGGTCTCAATGCTGGCACTCCACCATCCCCGCCGCTGCCGCCACAACCGCCAGCGTTCGTGTTGGTTGTCGAGTCGGCGTCTACGCTGCCACCGGTCGAGCTGCTCCCTGTGGCGGTGTTCCAGGGCTTGCTAGAGGTGGCGGCTTTCGACCGCCGATTCCGTGAAGCACTCGAGGAGGGGGAGGGGGTGGCAACCGCCGAGCAGATGGCGAGGCGCAGATGGTTGCTTTTGGCCTTGTGGACAACCAACTCGTGGCACAGATGGGACCAGAGTTGTTTCGTGGAATATTGTTGGTGTCGGGACCGAGGAGAATATGCTACCGCTCAAGACGGCATGGAGCCAGATCTTGGGATAGAGACGCAGGCCATGACTCCCGAGGACGCAGAACATCACTTTTATTTGCCGTTGCCACTCATCGTTGTGCCGCGCCGCACTCATCCCGCGCCGCACTCATATCCTGCACACTTTGCACCCTGCACCCTGCACCATGCACCGTGCACCGTGCACAGTGCACCCTGACGCCGCACCGTGCACCGTGCACCGTGCACCGTGTACCGTGCACCCTGACGCCGCACCCCTATCCGGCAGGTGCAAGAGAACCTCGCCAAGCAGCCCTCGTTGCTGCCCGTGGTCGAGGGCAAGAAGGCGGCGCAGTGCCACCTCTACTTCTCGCCCGTCTTCATCACGCCCGACGTGCTGCTCGGGCGCAAGACGAAGCAGGTGCTCAAGCCGACGCAGATCCTGGGCGACGCGCAGCTCATCGACGACGACATCGTCTATCTCTCGACCGAGTTCATCGCCGCCGGCCTCAGCTCCGAGCGCCTCTGAGCGCGCCGCCGTCGCCGCGCCGCGTGGTGCTTGCAGAGCGAGAGAGAGCGCGCGAGCACGCGCGCGGCGAGGGGCGCGCGACTGCATGTGGGGACGCGCCGAGCGTGGCGCCGCGTCGGTGCGTGTGTGCCATGTCGGGCAGGCGCATGGGTGTGGGTCGGGTCGAGGGTTGGGGCGGGTGCGACATGCATCCCAGGAGATCTGATGAACCGGGACTTGGTGTTGAGTGAGAGGCCCCGGGCATGACAACTCGTGCTTTTCGTGAGCCGCAATGCCGTTTCTACATTCTACATCTAGCCAAACGAAAATCTCCGCGCAATATTGAATATAACTTTAGTAATAAAGCTACAGCCGTACGGCTGCAACCAATCTGAATCTCTTTACTCTTTATCTCTTATCTGCGAGCTGCGAGCGGGCCTCCGCTCCGGACTTGGCTTCGATTGGTGCATCATGATCAACTCACCCGAAGGTCGTCACGGATGGCTTTCGCGAGGCTGTCCGTCACGCTTCTGCTGCCAGCGGGCCGCCACGTGCTCCTTGCCCCCTGGCGCCCTCCAAATACGACGTAGCGCCCGCCATGGCGCCCGCAAGCCAGTGGATGCGCACGAGTCGCTCCTCGCCTCGTGGTCCCTCGAAATGCATCAGCAGCTCATTGAGCGCGCTCGACGGCGCCCCGGCGACGCGCGACGCTTTTTGCATGTGTGAGCGGCGAGCCGTGCTCGCAACTCGCTCGTGGGCAGAGACTACCACTCTATAGCGGGAGACCACACTCAGCATTGAACTCAAGACTGAGATTGTGGCGCTACTGGACGCCGGTCTGAGAAGATGCAAGGAGGGAGGCCAGCGGTGGCGTGCTCTGCCCTTGGTGGATGCATGCGGTGTGCTGTAGCGTTCGCGTTATAAGCTACCCTTTCGTAAGGAGGGAGCTTTCATTTCACCCAAAAGCGGCCCCTGTCGCCTGCTTTCGCTTTTGTTGCAGCCGCTGGATGCCGAGTTTGGGGTAATCCTTGCCATCGCGCAGGTCGGCCAACAGCGCGCCCCACCACTCGGGCTGCTCGCCAACGTCGTAACAGACGTCGGCCGGGTCCTCGGCCGAGCACTTGGCGATCACGGCTGCCTCTCGCTGGATGAGCACAAATTTGAGCCGCGGGGGCAGCGGCGTATGGACTCATTGCGCGTGTTGGTCATGAGGCGCTCTGCCCAGCCCTGCAGCACGTCCGAGACGACTGGCCCATTCTGGCTCCGCCCCACGTGGAGATCCTCGATAAAATAGAGGCCGCCATCGCGCAGCGCCGGCCAGAGGATGCGGAGAGTGAGCAAGATGTCGCGGTTGGAGTGACTGCCGTCGTCAATGATCGCATGGAACCCGCCGCCGCTCTGGTGCACCCAGCGGCGCAGCGTTTCCGGGTCGCTCTGGCTCCCTATCATCGTGTGCAGTCCATCCAGCTTGCCCTCGGCCCTGGCTTTATTCACGCACAGGCCATTTGACTCCGCAAACCAGATCTCTGCAGTGGGTAAGAGGCTTCGCCACAACCGAGCCGAAGCGCCCGGGCCGTACTCCATCGAGCATCCCAATCCGATCTCCAGCATCTTGAATTTGTCACCGTGCATGGCGGCAAGCGGTAGCAGCAGCGCGCCGTACATCAGATGATAGGTATGCGGCATCACTTTGTCGGTTGTCGGCACAATGGACTGTGCTGCCTTGCGCACACGAGCAGGGCCCTCCTCGCTTGTGACAGCCTGCCACGAGGTGCTTTCGACTGCCTCCGCGCTCGTAAAACTCCACCAGCACAATGAAGTCAGAAGAGCCGCGCGGAGCATTCCTCTCGCCGTCGCAACACTCGTCGACTCACGACGGGGGTCTGCAGACCACCCGGCCGAACTTCAGAGAGAGAGAGAGAGAGAGGGTCGAGCCAGGTCACTGCCACACCTACGGGCAGCACGCCTCGGCGTTAGCATCGCGACGACCGGCACACTCTCTCGTGTCCTCGGCGCTAGGACTGGAACCGGGCAGCGATTGGCAAGCGAGCGGGCTGCGTCGCTCTCTCGCCGGAAAAGAGTGGGGGCAATCGGGCGGGTTCGCTCGGTGGAAGGGTGGGGAACGAGCGGCAGCGGCCGCGTCTCGCGGCTCCCCGATGGCAGCAGCCTCACCTGCGAACGGGAGGTGGCAGGGATTGTGAGGCCGAGAATCGCATGGTGGGAGCGGAGAGGGAGCGGCGGGTTGCGTGAGCAGGAGGCGTCGCGCCGCTCGGGCGTGCAGCTCCCCGCGGCCATATGTGCGTCGACGCGGCGGGGCAAGCGCGAGCGGAACGGGAAAGGCGAGGGTTGGACCTGCGGACCTGTGGCGAAGTACACAGAGAAGCCAAGCCGAACGCCCTGCCTCGATCAAAAAGAGCGCCTTCGGCACTACTCTCTCGAGGTCTCGCGGATCTTATAAATCAGCCGAACGGCCAAGGGCAACCCCGCAAGACTAACTACTAAAACAAAGAAGGGCGCCGGCAAGTACTAGCCCGGTCGAACACTGCCCAAACAAATAAATTTTGAGCTGAGAGGTTTGGGGATTCGCTCCGAGCGACGGTCCAACGAGAATCGTCAAAATCAGGCAATGAAGAGACCGGTAGCCACCAGCATGTCGGTGCGTCTTTCTCATGCTCCCCCCCCCAGCGCCCCCCGCGCCCGAACTATGCACGGGCCCGGCTCGCCCGCTTGGGGATCCACCCGGCACATCCCCGCCCCCCACCTTCCGGCTTACCTGCCGTCAGTTAGGTAGGTAGGTAGAAAGGTGAAGAACAGCCAGGCTCGGAGACTGGACACCAACGCGGTATGGGTGGACGCTGGTCGCTGGACAGATGATGACGACACGCACGAGCGACACACAGACACAAACAAGCTCACAAGAAACACAGCCAGCGGGCTGCCACACACCCTGAGTTGGCGTACACATAACTCAGGGCCACATCCTCCCTGTCGCCCCCTCCCCCACGTCAGTTCAGCGCGATCGCCCGCTACAAGTCCGCCGACTAAATGATTTTCGGCCGGCCGCAGGTCGGGCTGGACGCGGCTGTTTCGGCCGGCGGTCGGGGTCGGACACCAGCTTTGTCGGCGCGTCAGCGCCGACGAAAATTTTGGGAGATTTTCTTATACTCCCGAGCTCCCGACTCCCAGTTACCCGACCTCCGTGTGGGTTTTGTCAAACGAGATTGAATCTTGGAATCTGCTGATTTTCTCCTTGACGTTCCCTTCTCGCTTCTGGCTCGCCGCGCTCGCTGTACCTAGCGGCCGTGACTCACCTGCTTCGGGCGCGCTGCTCCTCGGGGATGGCGAGAAGCGGCAGGGCTCGAGAATGTCTCTGGTGGACGGTCTGCCGCTGCCTGGTGACGTGTATTCTTAGGCGGTTCTCCCGTAACAGAAGTGAGTTAATCAAAAGGTGTGAGGTAAGTACGACCTTCGTAGGACACATCTGCTCGAAAAGAGTAACGTGTAGTCCACACACAGTGTTCCCACAACGAGAATGTAACGGCTCTGTGTGCACTGCACAGAGTGCTGGCCTGCTGTATTGGTCTTAGAAGCCGTGTTTTTTGCATAGTCGATGAATCCAGGCCAAGAGATGTGAAGAGCCATGGCCCTCCTGGGCGACGGTTGCGTAGAACGGGCTGGAGACGGTTTTAGTGCCTCATCGGAACTTTCTCACTGACTACGTGTAACTACTCCAAAAGCTGAGTGACACCCTACGCCCATCGGCTCAGAACCCGTCTTATGTATATGTGGGCCACAGCCATGAGGTGATTTTTCATGCGTTAGGCTTCGTCTCTGTGCTGAGTACCTCATGGCGGGTGCTGTCTCATCGGTCGTGAATGGGCCGGTAACGGAAGTAAACTTCAAAGCCATACTAACCGATGCTAAGCCGCTGGGTATAGGTTGTCACTCAAATTTTGGAGCAGTGGCTGGCCTGGTACATGTACCATATCGCCCCTCAGCACGTCATCAGCCCTCATGGGCCTCATCTCAGCCACTGCTCCAAAAGAATCTCAGCCACTCGTCTCTCGATGTCACGATGCGCTCGTGACGAGCCATGAGATGACCTTTGTCGGGTCCGTTTGTGGATTCAGGTGACGGGCCTGCAGAGGTGACATTACCTGGCAGGTGCGGTGGGAACCCCATCGTCGTAGCCACCTTCGTCGAAGCCCGCGTCGTCATCGCCCCTACACGATGCGCACATGCCCTCGCCGCAGTCCTCGTCACTGACTGACGGTACCGCAGCCCGGGCGGTGCAGGCCGATTTCGAAGCAGCATACGGCCTCGTCCATTCCCAACGTGACGAGCAGCGGATGGACGTGGCTATCAACGCCCAGCGGATTGCCGGTGTTGCGATGGACGTACCAGATCCGGAAGCCAGCCTCGACGATGTAGTGCCGCCAGAAAGCCGCCATGAGGCGCAGCTGCGCCTGGCTGCCCATCTGCAGCTGCGTTGCAACATGCACCTCCAGCACAATCGTACACACTTTCTGCAGCAGCGTCGGTGTCCGCACCGCGATGTCGTTAAATGACTCCCACTCGCATCCTTCGCAGTCGATCTTCAGCATGTCGATCTGGCGACCGATATGGCCACTTTCTTGCATCAGCGCGCTGAGCGGTTTGATCCTCTGGCTGTCGAGCGCGCCGTAGGTGCCCGATACGAGGCTGGCTGCGCTTCCACCGGCGCCAACGCCAAGACCTGCGTAGTGGAAGGTGAGGTTCGGCCTGCGGCCTGCAGCGTACTGCTCGTGTCTCCTGCGCAGCCTTTTGGTCGGGTCGAACGCATGCACCTCGCATCGACGTGACATCCAATCTTCGAAAGACCACTCACCGCCGATGCCAAACGAGTATACCAAGCATGTAGAAGGGCTGGATGCGAGCTTCTCGGGTTCAGCAGTGGACCTGCTGCCGAAGAGGAACGGCTCACACAGTGGCAGCGCATCGTCGTGGCAGCGGCGCTGCGGGGAAAGCGCATCCGCCTTTGACTTGCATGGCGATGTGTCCATACGAAGCAGCCGGCCCGGGCACAGCGCAACGGAGGGCGCCTTATTGTTTGCATGCGCCCACTCGGGCATCGCTGCCCACCGCGTTGACGCCGCGCTCTCATTCGAGCTCTTTCCGCCTGCCGCGTGGCTGCTGCCAGGCACCCACCACTTGCGCGTCGTGGCGTCGCATGGGACGCCCGCACTCAACGTGAGCCATGTGTGGGGTCTGAAATGAGAGGAGAGTGACGGGGGACAAAGCTCGGACGTTGAGCCTGCGGAGGGCGGCGTCACGAGGGAGCGGGCTAAAGTTCGTGTCGGGCGAGTGTTGCAGGCGACGAGGGCCAGAGAATAAAGAGAGGCCTTGCTGGCGAGGGCGAGGGCGAGGGCGAGGGCGGGGGGGGTGGCTGGCGGCGAGGGCGATGGGGGCGGGGGCTGCGGCGGCGGCAGTGTCGACGGCAGGGCGGCGAAGGCATCGGTGGCGGCGGCGAAGGCTGCGGCGGCACATTGCGCGGCCGTGGCGGCGGCACAACGGCGGCGGTGGCCCGGAAGTGGCAGCAACGAAGCGGCGGTGGGCGAATCGTCGTTCATAGCCTGGCCGCAGTAGTCAGGCACGCACGGCGACGCGTCGTTCATTGCCTGGCCGCAGTACATGTCGTTCATTGTCTGGCCGCAGTAGTCAGGCACGCACGGGCGACGCGTCGTTCATTGCCTGACGAGGCGCGCGGAATAGATGATGGCGGCGCGGTCCTCCCGGGATCGATGAGGTGGTCGAGCTGGCAGACACGGCCCGATGCTGAGCAGGCGCTTTCGCGTGTCGGCCGGCCGGGACGGGCGGGGAGGTGCAGCAAGATTGGGGAGGGGTGGGGAGGGCGGCCTGCAGACAGCTAGAGCTTTGCTCGCAGAGGGCCGAACGGCGTGTCCGGAGGCACAAGAGCAGCATGTTGATGATGTACGTGATGCTATGCTGATGCTGGTGGTGGTGGTGGTGACGATGACGATGATGACGATGATGACGATGGTGATGATCATCATCGCGGCGACGTGCCGGATCGCGTCGCGGTACATGCTCTCGGCGCCTCCGACTCCGCCACGAGGGTGTGTGTGTGTGTTTGCGCTGTCGGTGGAGAGGTGTATGCTACGAGTGGAGGGGCGCAGGCGCTCACGAGCAGCGTCGATGCACCTGCGAGGGAAGGATCGGGGGAAGATATCCCGGGTAATCTCCCTCGCTGATTGCAAGAGTGCTCTCTCTGATTGCAGCACTCGCCGGGCCATCAAGAGCGCTCTCTCTGCTCGAGAGCGTCTTCGGAAGAGAAAGGGGGGCTCGGGGGGAAGGGGGGTCAAGAGGGCCGCACCTACTCACAGCGGACGCAGCTTGAGGCCCAGCACGCAAGAGGCCGCGGCGATCCCCTTCGCCCACGTTGTTTTGGATCTGCGAGCGCGCGGGCGACGGCTCGCGAGCGTCAGAGCCAAAATGGGATGCGCATGGTGCGGGCTCGTGCGGGGCAAGGGTGGAGAAGGGGCCGCAGTGGGCGCGTCTCGCGGCTCCACGATGGCAACGGCCGCAGCTGCGAGCGGAGCCGGTGCGAGGCTAGGAGGCGCAGCGCGGGGGGCCAGCGAGCGCGTCGTATGGCGGGAGCGGTGCGGGAGCGGCGGGTTTCGCGAGCAGCAGGCGTCGCGGGGGTACTGGGCGTGCAGCTCGCGGCGCCCATTGGTGGCGTGGTGCGGCGGGGCGAGCGCGAGAGGGAGCGGAAGGTGCATGAAAAACCTTCAGCACAGAGGTTCCTGCCCAGAGTATATCGCATTCACCCAGTGTGTGTGTGCTGTGAAAGCGCCGTCGCAACTGCCATGTCGGCAGGTTGTAGATCTAGGCTGGTGCTCTCGCCCCGCTGGCGGCGCGGACCGGTGCCGCGGCTCCGAGCCCTCCTGTGGGCCCGCGGCGGCTCGATTGATTTTGGTACTACCAGTATTTTGGGGGACATTCTGAGAGAGAGAGAGAGAGAGAGAGAGAGAGAGAGAGAGAGAGAGAGAGAGAGAGAGAGAGAGAGAGAGAGAGAGAGAGAGAGAGAGAGAGAGAGAGAGAGAAGTTTTGTCTTGAAAATTCTCCATAAACTGTCATGTGAGAGTGTTAGAGTTGTTTTTTGACTTCTTTCGACTTGTTTGGTATTGAACAAGAGCGCAGGCGGTCTGTGTGAGTGAGTATTCTTGATACGAAACCACGACGACACACACCAGTCGACTCGTATCGGTTGCCTCCATGAACGGCGGAGCTATTCTCGCGCCCACACCACACCTGCTCCAACGTGGACACGCCCATAGCTGGGGACACTACTAGGTCACGCATGGCATCAGAAGTTTTATCTCTGGGCCCCGAAAGGCATCTCTAGCAGCGTCGTTGCGCATGCGTCCTCCTGGGCGCATGCGCCTCACATCTCGCCTGAGCATAAGCTCTCGGTGTACACACACACACACACACACACACACACACGCACACGCAGGCGGTCCGTCACAAATTCAGAAACGTCCGCAGCTCCCGGCGATCTCGCGCCGACGGCCGATAACGGACCTTAGCCGCCTCTAACCTCTCTTTATGGTATTGCATAAAAATCTCAACAAAACAAACAAAATCTCTCTCTCTCCAAACGGGAAACGGCGCGAGAGTTGTGATTCGTGTTGGGTTTCACAAGTCTTAAAAATCTCTCCTATCAAGCATCTCTCACTCACATGCTATCGCCCACCCCCATGGAGGATCTCCCCAGTGAGTGACACACACGAGGATCTCCCCAGTCCCACCTGAAAAACAAGTGAAAAGAAGGACTTCGCGCTTCGGCGCCTGAAAAAGTGCTTGACCGTCGAACTCACAGGTTTTGCACCCGCCGCCCCCTCTCCCCGCGATGCGGCGCGTGTTGGCCTTTGCGCGAGCGTGTGCGAGCGTGCCCGGCCACTTCGCCCCCCATCCCGTGCGCTGGAGCGAGACGTGACAGTCATCACCTCGGAGAACGCCGTCGCGCGCCGCAACGCGGCTTCGCCCGCCCGCTCGCGCCGGCCCTCCCGCCGCGCGAGCCGCTCCCCCGCCCGCGTGTGAGTGTCTAATCGACTTGGGTGAGCGCGGCTGGTAGGAACCGTGAGTCTACCCCCTCGTTCCCGGCGGTCTCCGCGGCCTCTTCTCGCGCCAATCGCCGCCGATAAAAGACATGTGCCGCGTGCTCGTTCGCAGCCTCTGGTTTTGGGGCGTCCTTCTACGCTCCACCCGCGCCCTGGCGGCTGGCTGTCGTGCATGCAGAGGAGGACGAGCAGGTGGAGATCATGATGATGGATCCGGTCACGAGCGGCCGGTTCACCGACCAGGACCAGCCGCTGCCGGCCGCCACGCCGCGCATGGCGCCGCTGCCTCAGGGGCAGGGCGGCGCTCGTTCGGCGAGTGCGTACTCCAGATCTACAATCACACTCAAACACCCGAGGAACGTTCCTCGGGTTACCCGAGGCGGGGTCATGACGCCGGCGTTCCTCGTGACGGCCCCTTCAAGTACAACTTCCGGAACTGGACGCGCAAGCCCGTGCAAAAAGACGAGCTCTTCTCTGTCGTGCAGACTAATCCTCCGCCGTGTTCACTGGCAGCGCACTGCGATTGGGTTGTCGGCTCGCGCTATGAGCATTGGGGACGACTGCCCGGCTTCACCGTCTGGGGCGACCCGTACACCGTGCCTGGAACCATATTCGTGAACACGGACGAGCTTGAGACCTTCTCAGAGTCGCTGCTGCATTGCATCCCGCGGCGCCATGGCGTGGTGCTCATCACGGGCGACCACGACAAGACGACGCCGTTGCAGACGGACGTTCGTTACCCGCGCGTGCTCAGGTCGAGCACCTGGGCGAACTGGCTCAAAGATGAGCGCATTTTGCACATTTACGTCGAGCATCTCGATGCTGCAGTGACGAGCAGCAAGGTCAGTCCCATCCCGACCGGGATGAATCCTCGCGATGCTGGGGGCATGTCACTGGCGACCGCGCCGCGAAAAGTGCGAATCCAATCACTGCCGCTCCGGGTGGTGGAAATCGGGCGGCAGCGAGGCGGGCGGCAGTTCCTCGAACGACAGTTTGTCAGAGACTTGTGCAACAGTTGGCGTTGGTGCGACGTGGCCAACACGACTAACGAGGGCTTCAGTGCAGTTGTGCAAAAGTATCCATTCCTGCTCTGCGTTCATGGTGGCGGGATCGACCCAAATCCCAAGCTCTTCTCAGCCATCCTTTCCGGCGCCATCCCGATCATGCGCGATTTTCCGGGTGCCACCATGTACGACGGCTGGCCAGTGGTGCGCGTGAGCAACTGGACCGACATCAACACAAGCATGCTCGCACAGTGGCGCAAGCTCCACGCGCCCGCGTTCGAGGACGAGTGGTTGCGCAATCAGACCCTCGAACGGCTCACGATGCGTCACTGGTGGTCCAAGATTCACCCACCCCCCGGACCTCGACGCCACCAATCGATTTGAGCCGGCCAAGGCGGCCGCGATGCTAATTCCTATGTACTGTACTGTAACGCGATACTGTATAGCTGTACGGGAGTTTTCCTAACATCGGATTTTGAACTATCCCTACTACATGATTTGACATGGTTCATTGGTAGCTTTTAGCACATGCATGGGTTCATAATTGGGTGTGGATGCTGGGTTGAACAAAATCGAGGGACGCGACCCACTTCGCCACAGACGGTCCCGCGCCTCGCCGCTATGACAGTGGCACGGCCGCAGCTCGTGTGCGTGCCACTGTCTTTGTCCGGAGTGAATACTCCAACGCGCTCGTCGGTGACGGTATCCCTCAACCTGCGCCGCGCTCGCTCGGCGAACCTCGACAGCGCCTTCGGTGGCATGCAGCTCTTTGCGACAGAAGCCTGGAGAGCAGCTCCTCTGCTGCTCACACACTCTGCACAGCTGACACAGCCTACTGTGCGGCTGCCACAGCTGTGACAGCGATGGGCTCGCCCTCACTGGCCCTCAGTCACTTGTGCTGCGGCTTGTGTGAGCGACACTGCTCGGCGACTGCCTGCACACTGTGAAAAAACTGTTCAGTTTTCAAAGGCAAAACATGACGCTCTGCGGTTGGTGCACCCCTCACACTGACACATTCCCCTCATCCCTTGCCCTTGGCTGAGCACATCTACCTGCGAGCTAGTCTCTCCGCATTCTCTCCCTTAGTCATCCGCCCGCGCCGCGCGCCATCTAATGAGCTCATGCTTGTATTGAGGGCTTAGAATCGATGCGCGCGAGAGGGGGCGGGCTTGCCGAAGAGCGGACGGATGTAATGGACCCAAATGCCAAAACGCGCTTCCACGGCGTTTCGGCGGAGTTCGTTGATTCCGCTCCGGCCCGCTCTGTGCTGCGCGGCGGCTCGCCCGTGTCCCTGGGTAAATTCTTTTCGCCGGGGGGTGAGCGCTGAGCGGCTGTCAAGCGCCTCGGCCCTTCTGTCAGATGGCCGCCCAGCACCCGACCCGCGGCGCCTGCTCGACCGCCGTCCGGCCGGGCGAGCGCTTCGACTGCGTTCATGGTGACCGCGGCGCTTGGCGGACTGGCCGGCGGTGGAACATCACCAGCCTCGACAGCTGCGTCCGGCGCTGCCGCGAGTGCGACCGCTGCGGGTTGCGTCCTTCTCAATGCGGGAGCGGTCGTGCGCGTGGTCCGCCGCGTGCGACGCGCCAGTGGTCTCGCCGCAGCGGTATGCGTCCTTCAGGACCGTTTCAGTGCGCGGGCCCGCCGATGCCAGTCCGCGCCCGGTGTCCGCGGCGGCGGCGGCAGGAGAGTTCCGCTGCTCCCGCGAGCGCAGCGATCCACGGCGCGCTGACGGACGTCGCGAGTGAAGGCGGCGAGCGGCGCAGGGCGTGCGCGAGTGCTCTCGCGTCCGCGTCTCCCGCGCCTCCCGGCCACCGGTGCCCCCGCTGCGCCGCGGAGCAGTTTCCGCCGTCGCCGGGCCGGCAGAGGGTGTTGTTTTTTGACTTGTTTGGTATTGAGCAAGAGCGCAGGCGGTCTGTGTGAGTGAGTATTCTTGATACGAAACCACGACGACACACACCAGTCGACTCGTATCGGTTGCCTCCATCACCCGAGGCGACGCCAGCCTGCAGCCACGAGCCCGGCAGAGGGACGCACCCCCCCTTCAAGCGGCAGCTGCAGGGCCGCGGCAACTGGCCGGCGATGCTGCAGGCGGCGCTGGGAGAGGCGTTCGTGGTCGGGTCCTTCTCATCTCACGCAGCGACGGGCTCGACGCGCAAAGGCCCAACTTGTGGGACGATTCCAGCTGCTCGCGCGCCGCCTCGTGGTCGAGCTCCTGCCCAATCAGCACTAGCTCCGTGCGCCGATCTCCGTGGTCCGCGTCCCGTGGTCCTCAAACTGCGTGCCCGCGAGCGCTGCGCGCACCTGCCGGTTGCGCCGCGTCGCCAGCCAAGCGAAGCCCTTGAGCCGGAGGACAGTGGACAGCGCTCCCGGGCGGCGCCGCTCCCGGCTGTCGAGGGCCGCGTGCAGGCGCTCCGGATGGAAGGGCCGCTTGGCGCAGAAGACGAAGGAGGAGATGCCGTACTCGACGGTCTCGGGCGTGTGCTCGTGCTCTCGCGCCTAGTAGTGGGCAACACGCCTAGATCTACGCCTAGTAGTGGGCAACAAGATCTTGGAATTCCTCCGTCCCGGCGTGGAATTCCAAGATCGGACCCGTATCCACGCCGTCTCGTGCTCGCGCGCCTCGACCAGCCACTGCGGGTGCTCCTCGGCCTTCTTCATGCTGAAGCGCGCTACGTTCCGTGCGCACGACCTCGGCCGTCGGGTTGGCCTTGCGCAGGAATGCCTCGACCGCGCCGAGCTGCTCCTCCGTCACCAGATCGCGCTTGTTGAGCAGTAGCAGATCGGCGAACTCGAGCTGGTCGCAGAGCAGGTGTGACACGGTGCGCTCGTCGCCTTTGGCCGCCTCCCAGCCGCGGTCCACGAGCGTTTCCATCGTGCTGAGCTGCTCGAAGACAGACGCAGCGTCGACAACCGTGACCAAGTTGGCGAGAGAGGCAACGTCGTCCAACGCAGTGGCACGATCGCGGAAGGTGAAGGTCTCGGCGACAGGGAGCGGCTCGGAGATGCCCGACGACTCGACGAGCACGTGGTCAAAGCGCTGCTGGGCATAACTCGTTACAGAGCAGCCATAGCCCGATGGCTGCAATACACACAGAGCAGCCATCCTTGCTGGAAGCTCGGCCCGTTGGGGGCTGGCTGCCATCAGTGAGTGAGTGAGTGACACACACACACACACACACACACACACACACACACACACACACTCACTGGCTGCCATCACAAGCCGGGTTGGAATTTTTTGTTTGGGGGGGACGCCGCGAGCACGTCCTCCGACCTCCATCACCTGGTACCATGGCCGCCGCCCCCAGCATCGAGTTCGCATTCGCGACGGTGTCGCAGATGGGCCACCTCAAGCCCCTGATCCCTTACATGTCGGAGTTGATGCGCCGGGGCCATCGGGTCACCATCTTCTGCGACGGCGGCGACAAGTACGTGCGCGAGCTGGAGGGCGCCGGACTTGGGCCGTCGTCGCCAAACACGACGATCGTCGGCGTGCATTTCTCGGAGGTCCGCGGGCCGAGCGCGCTCCGGAAGGAGGTCGGTCTTCTCGGCATTCTGAGCAAGGGAGGACCGCTCGCGATGGCCAGCGCGCCGCTCTACGAGGCAGTCCTGGGGCACTACGGCGGCGGCAGCAGCACTAGCAGCTCGTCTTCCTCGTCCTCTTCTTCTTCTTCTTCATCTTCTTCCAGCCCTGCCGCCGAGGGGAAGGCCCGCCCCCTCCCGGCGGTCTTCGTGTGCGACTTCTTTTCGACCGCGGCGGTCGACGCCGCGGACAAGCTCGGGGTGCCGGTCGTGGTCGTGTTCCCGAACCCCTTGAGCATGACGGCGATGCCGCCGCAGCGAGACCGCACGGGCCTGTACCTCCGGGCCCGGAGCCTCATGGTCTCGGGCGGCGAGGCCGTCTTTGCCCGGCTCTTGCTGCTGGCCCGCAACAAGGAGCGGTCGAGCCGCGGGCTCCCGGCCTTGCTGGAGCAGGACATCTTCCCGTGCGCGACGCAGGACCGCCTCATGGTCGCGACGACGGGCCTGGGCTTCGAGTTCCCGTGCTCCCGCTCGCCCCTCTTGCACTTCGTTGGGCCTTCGCCGCCGGCCGCGTTCCCGCCGCTCGGACCCGACCTGGCAAGCTGGCTCGACGCCCGCCGCGCCGCGGGCACGAGGGTAGTCTACGTGGCCTTCGGCACCATGCACACCTTCAAGGCGGAGGGCGTCGCCAAGCTCTGCAGCGAACTCACGCGGGTCCAGCAGGAGCCGGGGCAGGACTCCATCGCCTTCCTGTGGAGCCTGCCGGCGGACCAGCAGGGCTTCCTGCCGCCGGAGGTGGCCGCCGCCGCCGCCGCCGCTGAAGACAGCGCGACGGCGACCGAAGCCAGGTGGCGCATCGAGTCGTTCGTGCCGCAGTGGGCGGTCCTAGCGCACGAGGCGGTCCAGGTTTATGTGACCCACAACGGCGCCAACTCGACCTACGAGGCCCTGCTGAACGAGGTCCCGATGGTCTGCGTCCCGACGGGCAAGGACCAGCCGGCCAACGCCGCGCGGGTCAAGGCCTCCGGGACCGGCGTCGTCGTGCCGGGAGGGCCTGCCGGGCCCGTGGCCGCCGCCCTCCGCGAGGTGCTTGCCGACCTGCCGGCCTTCGTCAAGCGCATCGGGACGGTGCGCCGGGCCCTGGCCACCCAGGGCGGCGCTACGAGGGCCGTCGACGTCATCGAGCACGTCGCGGCGTGCGGCGGGTACGAGCACCTCAAGCCGGGCCTCGTGAGGCCGTCCTGGTCCTTGGCCCTGCTCGGGACGGCCGCCCTCGGCGTGGCGGCCGCCGCGGTAGCCGCGGTAGCAGTCGCAGGAGGCGTCGCGGCCCGGCGCCGGCAGGGGTAGACCGAGATATACAGAGCAGATAGGCACAAGTAGACAGGAAAGAAGATAAAGATGGAGAGACAGCGAACGCGCCACAGCGAACAGCGGGCATTACTGTATGGATAACACTGTTCTGAAACGCTCTTTCTTTTTTAGCCTGCACAGCGGGGCACCGCCACCACCCCATCTCTTTTCCCCGCGCTGGCGCACTTATTCTTCTTCGTCGTCGTCGTCGTCGTCGTCGTCGTCGTCGTCGCCCTCGTCGGCGCCCCGCTCTATCAGCAGATCCATGACGGCCTGGTGCTCCTCAGTGTCCGTCATCGTTGCGAGCTTGAGGGGCGTCCGCCCGTCCTTGTCCCTCGCGTCGATGTCTGCGCCCAGACTGGCCAGTGCGTCGACCGCCTCCGCGTGGCCGTTCGCCGCAGCTAGGTGCATCGGCGTCTTCTTGGCCTCGTCTTCCGCGCTGTGCTGCTCGGCACACCCGTCGAGCTTTGCCAGCGCGCTTATCACCTCGGTATGTCCGCTGGCCGCCGCGTGGTGCGCGAGCGTCATCTTCTTCGCATCGACGGCTTGCATGTTGGCACCGAGCTCCGCCAGCGCCTGCATCGTGTCGACGTTGCCCGCCCGGGCCGCGAAGGCCGCCGGCGTGAGGCCGTCGCAATCCTCGTCCTCGAGCGCCACGTCGCCCACCTCCACCAGAGCCTTGACGCAGGCGACGCCGCCCTCTTCGGCCGCATTGTGCAGCGGCGTGCACTCCGACGATGAGATGGCCTCGCAGTTGGCGCCCTTCGAAGCGAGCAGCTTGATCACTTTTGGATGGCCGTTGTTACTTACCACCGCGTACAGAGCAGCCATAGCCCGATGGCTGCAAACACACAGAGCAGCCATCCTTGCTGGAAGCTCGGCCCGTTGGGGGCTGGCCACCGCCGATGTTGATCAGTCTACCGTACTCGACTCCTGTACCCCTCAAGGGGGGGCGGAGATGGCATGCAGCCGAGGCTTGTTTTATATTACCCAAAAGCTAGGCCCACAACGCCCTCTATGTTGGGTCAAGGCGGGCGCCTAGAAGAAGGCCCCGCCCCCCGAGGAGGAATCCCACCCGTACCCCGAGCCCCCGTCGAAGAGCGCGTCGCAGCCGAGGCTTCGCCCGCTGCCGAGCAGCCTCGCTGGCAGCCGAGGCTTCGCCCGCTGCCGAGCAGCCTCGCTGGGCAGCGTTTTCGCAAGGCTCCCTGCTAGCCCACTGGCTTTTGCTGTCGCGCGTCGACGTTTGAGCTCGTCGTCAGCGTCGTCGTGCGCCGAGCCTCTCGCGCTCATCGAGTTTTGAGTCAACAACTATGAAAGCCAATCGATTCAGCGTGCTCTGAAACGCCCAAAACCGTCGAGTTTTTCGCTGTGGTCCAAACAGAGAGCTTAAGATCTTGATTTTCTTGGCCACGGCTTCAGTCTGCGGCCAGGGCGCGCTGCACCGGGCCAACCTGCGGCCGTCGCCACGTGCGGCGGGGTTTACCGCGGGGCAGCGCGCCGACGACGTCGAATGCGCCGCCGTGGCATAGCGGCGCCGACGACCAGGCTCAGAGGATGACCCCGGGTAAGCGTTCCCGTGCCTCGACAACTGCCGCTGGTAGGCGCGCCGCGCCGAACCATGGCGGGCGCGCCGCGGCCGCGCGCAACCTTCGTCACAATGCCAACCGCGCGCGGCCGTCGACCGGCAAGCACACGCCTCGACTCGGACACACTGTTCCGAGGGCAAGGGAGAGGGGCTGGCCCCTAGCCCGAGAGGGGAGCTTCCGAGACCCACTACATGACCACGCACACATCATCCCGCGGCCTGGCGGTCGGCGGGATTGCAACCAGTCTTCGCGTGCCGCCTGTCGTTCACTCGGGCGCCTTGGGCGTCGGGGTGGCGAGCAGGGGACGCAGCTCTGAGCGCCCAGCGACGCGTGCCGGATGGAGTCCGGCCGCGGGTGATTAGGGAAGTTCGCTCAGGATGTGTGGCAGCCGCCCCGTTGGCTGAGTGTCTTGTCTTGTGGTTCTGTGTGTCGCTCCTGTCTGTGTGACCGTCATCGCCCGTCTATAGCGTCCACCCATACCGCGTTGGAGTCCCAGTCGTTGGTCGGACTGTGTTTCACCTTCCCATCAATCACTCAATCACGGCCACGATTACCCGTCACTCGCTCACACCTCTTACGCATGCGCCCTCCCCTCCTGGGCGCATGCGCCTCACATCTCGCCAGAGCATAAGCTCTCGGTGTGCCACGAGACGAGTTTTTCCGCGAGCAGCAAGCCGCCCGCCGCAAACAGCCGGAGGCATCGCCACGGCACACACACACACACTAGTGTCGTAAGCTTGTTTTGCGGTTTGGGGGAGGGTTGCCCGGCCGGGGTGGGGCGCGCGCGCGGGGGCGGCGGGTGTGCGCGGGTGTGAGGGATGTCTGGGTGGGCCCGAGAGCGATATGCCCTGTCCGCCTTGCGTTGTTTCATAACATCGAAGGCTAAGCTTAAAAAATTTCCCGCGCTGGCTCTCCGCCTCCCGGCCCGCTTTGGGTTCAGCACCGTCGCTCTCGGCAATAATGTACGCGCCGGCGCCGGGAAAGCCGATGTGCCGCTTCGGCGCCAGCTGCAAGCGCAAGAACCCGGCCCACTTCACCGAGGAAAACCACCCCGACGATCACCCGTTCTTCGCGGCTAACGCTGTCGGCGGAGGCGACAGCGCCGTCTGCGTCGGCGTCGGGAAGGAGGCGGTCTACGCGCCGGCGCCGGGGAAGCCGATGTGCCGCTTCGGCGCCAACTGCAAGCGCAAGAACCCGGCCCACTTTGTGGAGGAGAATCACCCCGACGATCACCCGTTCTTTGCCGCGCCGTCGGGCGGGCAGAAGCGCCCGGCCGCGGCGGCCGCCTCGCCGCCGTCGCTTCCGAAGCGCGCCACCGCGACCGAGGAGTCGCCTAGCGCCGCCGCCGGCTCCGCTCCCTCGCCGAGCGCGAGGGGCGACGCAGGCGCGCCGGACCACGGCGGCGGCGGCGGCGGCGGCGGCGGCGGAGGAGGAGGAGGAGGAGGTGGTGGTGGTGCCAGCGGAAGGGGTGGAGGAGGCAGCGGGTGCGTCGCGGTGGAGCTGCCTGCCACGTACTCGCGCGACGCCTGGCGGCCGGTGCTGCGCGAGGTTTTCCTCTCTCCGAGGCGGACCTCTTCCTGGACCATTCCTGGACCTTTCCCGGACCTTTCCTGGAACCTTCCTGTAGGTCTTCTTCTCGCCCGTCGCCGACGACGCGTTTGTCCTCTTCGAGGCGAGAGCCGCGCCATGCCTGCCGGAGAGAGTACAGTTGCCACATGGGTGCCTGACACATGGGTGCCTGAGAGACGATGTGCCTCATGCACGCCGGAGAGAGTACAGTTGCCACTGTAGCGCGGCCTTGACACATGGGTGCCTGGGAGAGATGTGCCTTGCGTTCTGCCTTGCGATGTGCCTTGTGGCGCTCTCTTTGAGGCGCGCGAGGCTCACGCTCGGCGACACCTCGCCGAGATCTCGGCGAGATCGAGATCTCGGCTACACCTCGCCGAGATCTCGGCGAGATCGAGATCTCGGCTACACCTCGGCGAGATCTCGGCTACACCTCGGCGAGATCTCGGCGAGATCTCGGCGGTATCCCCCGCAGGCGTGTGAGGCGCTCGCGCCCGGTTCGGCTCGGACCGCCCTAGCGAGGGCCGGCCTCGGGCTGCTCGGCCCCCTCCGGCTGCTGTCCGGGGAAGGGGAGGCGTCGCCGCTGCTCGACCGAGGCAAAAAGAGATCGCCGAGAGAGATCGCCGAGAGAGCGCCGAGAGAGCGCCGAGAGAGCGCCGAGAGAGAGCGCCGAGAGAGAGCCGAGAGAGCGCCGAGATGGAGACGAGGAAGGGGAGGCGCCGCCGCTGCTCAGCCGAGGCCTGCACCTCGCGCCTTCGCGCGAGACCGCTCCGAGACCGCTCCGAGACCGCTCCGAGACCCTTCTCGAGACCCTTCCGAGACCCTTCCGAGACCCTTCCGAGACCCTTCCGAGACCCTTCCGAGACCCTTCCGAGACC